GCCGGATAACGTGAATAGCTCGTCGGGTTCGTGAATATTAGCTTGTTTGGACGATTTTGATGAAGATGAAAGCTAATAAAAATGGTTTTATGCTCTTGAGTGATAATGGATCTTGAATGGTGGTTAGGGTTTATGTAGAAGAAGATGAATAGTGGAAAATGTGGAAATGAGGATGAGGATGATGTTATATATAGTATGTGTTGGAAAATTAGGGTTTGAGTGGCATTTTGGGCCCAACATTGGGCTTCTAAAATTACTAACGCTCGGGCTTAATAAAATCTTAAAACCGGGCTAGAGAAATCCCAACACTTGGGCTCGAAATTAAATCAGATATGGACTAGAAATTTAAATTCTCGGTTTAATTAAATTTATCGAACTTAGACTAATTAAATTAGTTGGTCAAAGTAAACACTAATAATGGGTCCATATTTAAAATCAACTATATGCTCAATTTTAAAATAGACTAGAATAAAATTGCACTTGGGCTTGATTTAACTCAAATGGGTCGGCTAGAATAATTGGGTCCGCTCAAAATTGATTGGGCTCGAATAATTAAATTATTCGGCATTGATTAGCTTAAACAAAAGCTCGATTAATCCAAGGCACGGTTTTAAAAATACAACCGACACTTGGGCTAATTAAATCCGACTTTTAATAATTAAAATCAGATAAATACTCCATGGCTCAGACTTTAATACTAATTATTTAATTTAATACAAATTAATATGATAAATGCATCAAATTTAGAAACTTAATATTTGTGAAAATATAGTCGAGCTCTATAAATAGTAAATGAAAATCTGGGCGTTACACCCCCTGTCTCATTGCCATCAACGTCAAGTACGTTTTCTCATGCGCCACCGTGTTAGAATATTGATTGGTAAGCTTGCTGGCAAAATTCTCAAAATCCGCAATCAACCCAAAGGGTAACTGATGAAACCAGTCCAGTGCTCCTCCGCGCAAGGTCGATAGAAACGCCCTGCAACAAACAGAATCAGAATATCCATGCAACACAGCCATATTCTCAAAGGTCCTCACATGCTTCGACGGGTCAGAAGACCCGTCATATACCAAGTTAGTCTCCTTGAAATTATTCGACAAGGGAGCGGCGAGAATCTCCCTTGAAAAAGGATGTCCTCGAGCTCTCCTCTCCGGCCTCCCCTCCACCTTGTCCTGTAACTGGCGCAACTGCTCCGCCATCCTCTCCATCGCCCGATCCCTTCCAGCTCCTCCCTCTCCATAAATGGATACATCCTCATCTTGGTTTCCGGCCACCGTGGCCAGCGCAGTGGGGGCATGAGATGTGTGGCTCGTAACTTGTTGCACCGCCTGCGCCGCCGCGGCCGCTATCCTCTGCATCTCCTCCCGGGTCATCATCACCACTTGCTGACCGGGAGCTTGTACAACTGCCTGCGGTGGCGCTCCTCCTTACTCCATCGTTCCTCCTTGCACCAGTGCTGGATTCGGTGGTGGCGGCGGTGGCATCGCCGCCGCGGCTGCTGCGCGAGCTTCCTGGGCGCGACTGGATCCGGCATCTCCTCCAGGGATCGCCATCGACGCTCCCACACCCTGAAGGACAGGTGTGGGAGTGACCGACATTTGCGAAGGTCCAGAGAAACCCGGAGTAGGGCCTTGTCCAATCGGCATGGTCGTCGTCCAAGCGTCATCGAACGTCGACTACAAGTTGGTTCTGGGAATTCCGTCCGCCATAGCTGAGCTTCAAACACAACCTTTCGAACAAAAGTCCCCACAGACGGCGCCAATAATGCAAGCGTAAGCGTCCTGGTCCGGTTTGGAGTAGATCGGTTCTTGTCCTCGCCGGTAGAACGCCAGA